GCATCACTGTGAACAAAGCCAGCCAGCAAACCACTCCTTAGACAAACTTCTTTCTCCTCATACTCCCTCCATTCCCAGTTTCTGAACTTAACCCAGAATTACACAAAATCTGCCTTTCCTGCACATGCTCTCACTTGGTTACTGTGATAACAGCCTGATTTTGGCATCATTCAAATCTTCATATAAAAGGACACACAAGCAGGTAACAGCACCTCCCATTTTTTTTGATGATGAAGAGACTCTTGTTCAGCCTGGAGAAGAGAAGGCTCTGGGGAGACCTTAGAGCAGCTTTCAGTCCCTAAAAGGAGCCTACAGAAAATTTGGAGAGTGGCTTTCTAAAGGGCCTGTAGTGACAGGACAAGGAGGAATCAGAGAGAAGATTTAGATTTGACATTAGGAAGAAGTTCTTCCCTGTGAGGGTGGTGAGGCACTGGCACAGGTTGCCCCAGAGAAGCTGTGGCTGCCCCACCCCTGGCAGTGTTCAAGGCCAGGTTGCACAGGCCTCGGGGCAACCTGGTCTAGTGGAAAGTATCTTTGCCCATGGCAGGGGGTTGGAACTGGATGAGCTTTAAGGTCCCTTCAACCCAAACCATTTGGTGATTCTAAGGGAGAAAACAAACAATCAGATGAAAAAACCCAAACCAAACCAAAAACAAACAACAACAAAAAAAAACAAACCCAACCCCCCCAAAAGACCAGCAAACCCCCACATCCCTCTTTTTCCATAGACCTTTTAATACTGCCCAGGACAGTTAAACTGCCAGTGCACTGCTAAGAAAAAGGCTGAATGCAGTCTTTTTTGGTACGCTTGTTAATGAAATGCCAAACATTCTTTTCTCCTCGCATCACAAGACAGCTTTCTTCTCAGTTGCTCACTCTGAGGTCATTAGAATGTTTATAAAGTATGAGTAACTTATCCACAGGTGTCATCTAAATGAAAGCCTAGGAGCAAGTGGTGTTAATTTGATTGCCATCCCAGCCATCCTAATATTTAGAATGACCTGAAACAAGTACACAAGAGGCTCTACACAATCTCCTTTTTTGCTAAAGAACCAAGGTGGCCAGGAAGTATGCTCCGAGTACTCTCTTCAGAAAAGGGAACACATCTCTAGACAACTGTCACTCTAACCAAGACAAATAGAACCTACAACAATGTTACTCCAAAGGTATGGATGAAATACAAGAAAACCAATGGATTCTTGAAGAAACAAAAAAAGGGTAGGAGTAGAAAGCCAGAAGAGAAAAATCGACTGAATAGCACAGAGACAATAAGAAGAAAATTAATCCTGAGTATGTTGAAGAATGGTATGAGTAGGTGAAAAGGACTGGGAAAAAAACGTTCATAGAAGTGCAGGTATAAATTGGATGATAAATGAATTCAGAGAAAAAAAGTTTAAAACCCACACAGTTACACAGAAAATCCAAATATATTTAGCTGTATTATGCTACTGCATCTAAAACCCATGAGAGTTTATCTGCATAGCCATATACTAACAATTCACTGCAATTCCTCCAAAATAATGTGATCGCTTGGTTTTATGAAGAAGATTTAAAGTAAAATAAAACTTGTTCCAGCCTCTAAGCACATAAGACAACATGCTGCCTAAAAATGCATTAGTGCATTCCTAAAAATGCTTCTAGCACTGTCAATGGCAAAAAAAGTACACAAAGGACATTTGCAATGTGGACAGTTAGGCTTATAATGAATTTAATAATATTTATACTACAGTACTGTAATATTTTTATTTTTTGTTTCAAGCCCAATCTTCCTTTCTCTTTCTACATAACAGCATATAATAAAAAGGTTTGAGAAGACCCCTGCCACTAATCCATACATTTACGAATAGAAAACTTACAATATGTTGTCTTCTTTCAAAAAGTAGGTCTGACATATTCAGGATGCTTCCTTGCCTCTCTCTCTTCTCCCTATAGCCTAAAGATGCATCTTCCTTTAACGTACCAGTTCTACACTAAATACTGCAGATAAATGAAACATAAATACATAATAATTACAGGACACACAAGTCTGGTGAGAACTGCTGAAAAGGTATGATCCCATAGGTAGGACTTTGGCAGCTCTGAGAACACCCACGGGGAAATGCACTGTACCAATACACTTGAAGCATATCATACTAAATGACCATATTTTATGCAGGTTCACCAGTGCATTCTCTTTCAAACACATCTGCATTTCTTTTTTTATATTTAAAACATATCACCACAAACAAATTAATATTGCAAAGGTTGATTATAATAAAGAATCATAACAAAAAAAGGTGCATTTTAGCATTTTTTATTTTAGTTTTGGCTACTGGCAGTACATAAAACAGAATATAACAATTTTTGTATCAAGAGCAAGTAATTTTTACTACTAACTATAAAGCTCTGCAAATCCAAAAGTATTTTGACTCCTAAAATAAAAACCGTTACAATGCTGTAACAGAAGAAGAATTGTGGCTACTTCAGCAAGCCACTGAACAACAGCTATGTTTTGTCTCCAAGTATTTCTTCTACCAGTAGTTGAGTTTGTCTGAAACAGAATCTGAGAAAGGCAGTCTCGCTTTTCATGTCTTACCATGAAACCATTAATTACAAGACCACCACAAGAAAGTGAAGGGGAAACAGACCTTCAGAGACATCAGGCACACTATGAATGATTGCCCCAAAGACTTGGGAAGAAGAAACTATTGGCTGTCTTAAGTATTTCACTTAAAACAGCAAGTGACATAAACTTGCCTTTTCTTATTAAAAACCAAACCAAAACATAGGAAAATACTTCTCCTGCTAGATTTTGTAGATCAAAAATTACCTGCCTAAGAATCAAAACAGAATACCCTGATCAGGTATTTTAATAGAAACATGATATTTCAAAGAATAAGACACTGCTTAAAATAATTCCACAGGTAGTGACCCAACAGCACTAAATGCATGGACAATCTGCTTTTGTTCCCATGCTAGAAAATACAGGAAAAAACTATCAAACCAACATACAGAGAGAGAGAGACGCAACCAGTCTCCCTTTGCATGCATTTTTGATTTCAGAGTTTTTCTTCAAGTATGGGTTCATAGTACTATTGCAGCTTACCAGACCCTACCAAGCTTATAGGAGAAAACACAGGATGTCCCAGAGATGGCAAAGCAGACAGCATCTGAAGCATACTGTGTGCAAAACATTTAACAGAGAAAGACCAGACAAACAGCTTAAAACTGGATAAATGCTGCATTATCAGGGAAAAATAAAAACAACAACAAACAAACCAAAACCCCCAAAAAACAAAACAGATTTGTGGCAACGAAGCACAGCATGGTACTTCACAAAGTACTCAATGACTTAAGTGTATCATAACTTCGTTTTGGAAACTTATGACAACTGATTCACAAAATTCATCAAAATATGTAGAACTAAATCAGGTGTTGTGGAGTGTTTTCTGACAATACTATCACATTACTTTGTTTCTACACTTTCTTTTGAAAAAGCAAGACAAACTTAGAAGTGCATGTTTTCCCATCTAAGTTTTATATGTAAGTATATGAAAAACAGGACTTAACTCTTCTGAGCACCTCAACACAAAAATAAGGTTCTCATTTTCACTTTTGTTGAGGTTAAGGAAGGTCAGACGAGTTGTACAAAACTTTGGCAGTAACTGCTTTTGAGGAGAAAACTGGAGCTCCCTAGCAAAGGCTACAATGCAGGATTTTACTTCACATTTTTATAAAGATCAAATATAAATCAACTCTCTAACAGCAGTTTCAGACAGGTAAACATTTCAGTTGCTTTGCAGGTTTGTATTTAATCAAGCCACAGAAATAGGGCTGGATTCGCACGTTAGCTGTACAAATACTATTCTTTTTTTCAAAGAAACGTTAAAAAAAAAAACCCTAAACCTATCAAAGTCATAGCTGCACCTGAGCTTAAAGAAGAGAAAAGCTGCAATTCTAGCTGTTTGTTAGCTGTTCAGATAGCAATGTTTTATAACAGATCAGATTAGGAAATCTGATTGCTGGCTTTATCAGAAGTAGTAAAAACCAACTATGGTATATTACTGCTTACCGTCCCAGCTGCCACCTATGGAGCTGTACACTACAGCTGTTCTTATGTAATGCAAATGCAATACCAGACATGATATGTAGTTCAAGTCCAGCCATTCTAAAAACCAGTCTCCTTTACTGTCAGTGTTAAGGAAAGTGACCTTGGCATTAAAAAAAAAAAGAGAAGTATAACTTATCAGAGTCACTTCTGAAGTAATCCTGCTGACTCAATCTTGGAGCAAGACCTTAAAATACAGTTTGCATTGATCCTGTCAGGCACAGATCACTTCAAAAACAAGAGGAGTGTGCTACCATATATATTTTATACTACAATCAACAGTTTCCAATGTCCTAAAAATTGTATGAAAATACTCATTAGGAATTCTAGAATCTCTTATGTGTTTGGATATAGGAAGCACCCATGAAAATAACTCTTTGGGGTTTAACTCATTTAACAACATTGGCATTATTCAAGTTCCTTTGGCTACAGTAAAGCCAGAAAATAGCAGGACTGATTTGTGCTGGCCTACAAGAAAATCTTAAAAATTCTCTGCAAAAAGAGTTTAGGCAAACAATATAGAATAAAGAATATATGTCCCACAAGGTTAAATCATGCTTATTATATAAAATACAGTGTGCCTCTTAAAGAGACATTTCTCTTATTTCTTTTCTTCAGACAAAATGCATGCTTAAATTAATCTGATACTTGCAGAGGCCAATGAAAACATCTGCAGTGAGTAGAGACAAAGAAAGGGCTGATGGACTCACGGCATGGACTTACACACCCGCAAACACGGCAAAAAATACAAAGTTAACCTTGCCGGGATCTTTAGTGAGGTAACACTGACAGCTGCTTATTTCTACATGTAATACAACATTTTTCTACATATTTCTATATGTAATACAAAGTTAAGAGCAGGGAGCCAGTAAGTCATACAAAAAAATATCATCTAACACCTTATCAGGCTGGAAAAGTTTCAATGTCTATTTCTTATCCCTCATACAATGGGAAACTGAAAAATCAGCTCAATATAAGAATTACTAAACAAAACCAAAGTCAAATGTGCATAATATATAAAATACTGACTACATGTTATGAAATATGCATCACAAGTTACCACAATGCATTTCCACATTAAACTTTAAAGCAAACTCCAAGTCACATGTTGAACAAAAGGCATCCTTTCTGGTATAACACCACCGTAATTCAACTTCAGAAGGTCTCCGTTAAGTCAAGGTATAATCTAAAATCAAGACAGAAAATAAAATTGAAGATCAGCTATCTTCTTACAGTTAGACACCTGAAAGAACAGCATGCATTTTAAAAACCACAATGAAACAATGACTTCATCATGAGTTTGAGAATCACCCGCTCACCCAATTCCAAAGATTCCTTCAGTGATTCTTGCCAGCATATATTGTACTGACTTTCTGGAAAATTTGGATATACAGACACACATATACACACAACCACACTAATGTTTAGCTCAGTTCCAAGCCATTTTACTTCACAAACAGCAGTTAAACCTTAAAAATTAAGACTGAAACCTACAGAAACCCACCTTGTGAACATTTTTCCAAAACTTCTTAATACCAACCATAGCAATGAGCAGTTAAAGGAAAAACCCTTTAAGTGACTATATAAACATCTTACTATTTATACATGGTGCTCATGAACTGCGCTGTTATCTCCGTCTCCACTTTGCATCTGCAGCTGCATCTGGGCCTTCATTCTTGCAATCATCTCCTGCATACGACGAAGCTGGAAAAGTAGCACAAAAGAATCCTGTGGCCTAGTCTCACCTCAGAATATGATTCTTTGCTGCCACCACATTATTAATTATTTATATTAAAGAGAGGACACATCTGCATTATCTTTATCTGTTAGGTAACAGTCTCAGGTTCTGGTGTCTTCTACTGCTCTTTTCATCCTTCAGAAGGTTGGAAGTTTACTGACTGAAATAAGCAGGCTTCATTACTGTAAACTGGGATGAGATTTTTGAGCATCCATAAATGGGAGTCTCTGCTTCCTCTGAAGTTAAATGAATAAAAATGATGGTGCTGAAGTGCTGAACACTTGTTACTAAAGCTTATCACCAGAAGAAAGGCAGCTTATGTATGTCCCTCCAAACTACACCTGGATCTGTCATTAAAAAAATTGTCAGGATCGCTTCCCAATTCCCTTGCTAGTGAGGACTAGGTGGAATCACATATTACAAGCAAACTATCCAAGGAGACATAAATGTAATTAGAAATGGCTGAAGCTCAATTTTAGAGCATTGCAACATTGCCAATTATGTAACTCAGCTACTAAGATTAAATTAGCTGTGTTGCATGTACAATAGTCAAATTTGTTTAATGTACCCAACTTTGACATGTAGAAGTGAACCTCACTACTGAAGTATTTTTGTGTGGTTTTGCCTTTGTGCACCTATGCTGTAAACCCAAACTAAACTTTTAAGCTTAACAGTGAAAAGTTAAACCTATGAGTTCTCAGCATGGAGCTGCTCAAGCGAGTCCAGAGGAGGCCACAAAGATGCTCTGAGACCTGGAGCACATCTGCTACGGAGACAGGCTGAGACAGCTGGGCTTTTTTGGCCTGAAGGCTCTGGGGAGATCTTAGAGTAGCCTTTCAATACCCCTTTAAAGTGGGGCTTATAAGAAAGATGGGGACAGGCCCTATTCTTTTTATTAGGATCTGTAGCAAAAGGAGAAGGAGTAATAATTTTAAACTAAAAGAGGGTCGATTCAGACTCTACATAAGAAATTCTTTTACAATGAGGGTGGTGAAACACTGAACCAGGTTGTTCAAAGAGGTGGTACATGCCCTGTCCTTGGAAACATTCAAGGTCAGTTTGGATGGGGCTTTCAGCAACCTGATCTCCTTGAAGATGTCCCTGTTTAATGCAGCACGGGGGTTGGAACTGGATGGGCTTTAAAGGTACCATTCAGCCCAAAGCATTCCATGATTCTAAGAAATAGTTACATTTTTTATATTCCTTGAAAAAACAACCCTTTTCATTTTTACTTCTGGGACTTGCATAGCCATTAAGACCACTAATAGAAGACTGAACACCTGCTTGTTCTGGGGCAGACCAAATAGTCCATCTAATTCAGCCTTCTCTCCAATTCTGGCTATCAGCAAATGCATGGAAGAGCCCAAAAACCAGATGCACACACTCAGTATTTCCCAAAATACGCTCTCAAACTCTAAAAGTCTGTCATTTCTGAACTTCCTAAACCAAAAAATTCTACCTTTTTGTTTAGTGAGCAGATTTGCGGAGAAACTAAAACTCTACAGTCTCTCAACATTCTTGAGCTTATGAGCATTCTTCTTATGCACAAAATTCCATGCTAATGAGTTCTACAATTTATAGGCTATCTTAAAACTATCCTTCTATTTCAAATCAGCCACCTACCATGCATCCTGCTATCTATGCTTATGTAAGCCCCTTAGTAGATCCTTCCCCTCTGCTATCTACTTCCCAACAAGATCATTAACCTCATCTCCCCTTGTACAAGATGTGTTTCAGATCTCCACTTCAGCCTTTTTTGCCTGCTTTTTGCCATTTTACTATACTTTTTCTAGTCTTGGCTATATCCTTTTTGAGTTAGGGGGACAATGGAAACAGTGTTGGAGCTATGCATTATGAATTTATCATTGTGGAAGAATGAGAACTCCTGTTTCACTCTTTATTCCTAACAATTCCTACCATTGTTTCCTCCTTTGATGCAGAGCTGATCTGACTTCTTTCCAATCTGCAATTGCTAAATTTAGAACCTTTACTCATGTGAGAATGGTTCTCTTTCCCCACATAACATGCACTGATGATCAATACAATGGAATCAGACATTTTATCAGATTACACTTGTTCCAGTAAATCAGTAGTCTGAGACTCCTCCAGACCTCCTCACATTATTTTGTTACTTCACGTTGAATAATTTTGTATTAGCAAGTTCTCTTTTCCTTTTCAAATTATCAATATTTATATACAGACATTTATATATATAATATTTATATCCATATGTAAATGGATATAAATCATTTGACCTAAAGTAGAGGCACAAGAACAAAAATTCCCCCATCACAAGAGTACAGAGTTCTGTCATCTTACTTCAGCTTCTTTTTCGAGCAGAATCTGGTCTTTATTTACTTCTTCATCTTCTATTTTCCTAAAAAAGATGAATATTCTTCAGTAACATACATACATTCTAGATTTTCTGCTTCCACAGAAGGCTTTTTTGACAACAATCAAGGCTGTTAAGACACATGTCAGATTTTCATAATACAACCAAAATTCACTAAAACATGTTCCCCACATAGCTGAAATTCATGGTTTTAAATTCTTTTTAACACACCAGTTTATTCTTTACTCCTTCATAAAGTTATACCCAGAACAAATATAAACTTCAAAACTCATTCTAGCTATTACTAAAATATGACAGATTTTCGCATGAAGGTATCAGTAAAAACTCTTTCTGAAGAGTATTCAAGTATAGCAGTTTACTCAAACTTAACATTATCCAAACTGATTGCAATTTGAATGTCACACAGATAGAACAAACTCAAAACTCCTTCAAAGATTTATTCTTCCCTTATTTAATTCTTCCCTTTCATGGGTGAAATAAATCAATACAACTAAATGAAAATCTAAGTTCAAGGTAATGCTGGACAAATATAACAAAATATGGAAGCAACAAGTAACAAGTACTCTAAGAAACTCTGTATCTGTAAACTTGACTACCACCAGGCAGAACCTTCCTGCCATGCAATTCTATCCCATCTCTAACTTCATGAACCATGTTTGCTACCAAACATCTAAAGAACCATAACCAAAACCATAAAACTAACATGACCATTGTACATGTCTGGAATTCTTCCAATTAGAGGAACTCCCTATCCTCTGCTCCACTTAAGACTTTGATTATTTTTCTAGTATAGTCACTTTCATATTTTTCTTTTTTGCAAAGCCAAAAGACTTGTTGTATGTAACGTGTTGCAGTATAATACAAACACTTACTATTCCAGTTAAAATAAAGCAAATGCTTTCAATCAGTACCTCAGCAAACTCCTGCTTAATTGGGACATTCCAGTTTTACATTGAGAAACAAAACATTTTATGTACTGTATTTTCAAGGTTTCCTACCACTTTGCTAACAGATTTCTCCTATCACATGTTACAATGGGGAAGATCTGCTGACATATCTAATCACACAAGTGCCATCAAAAGCACAAAGTGAACAACCTGATGCATATCAGAAGCCTCCAAGAAGGCTGTGTTCACATTAGTGAATACAGCCAACAAGCACTAACTGCCAAGAACTGCCAGTGGGGTTTGAAATCAATTCACATGCAAACTACCCTAACTTATAGTAAACTTAACTACATTCTAGCACCATTTCAGAAATGTTAAAACAAAGATATATGGGCCACTTAACCAGACAAGATACAAACCCATGTTTTAATTTCACAAGGAAAGATAGCCCAGCTCAATATCAAGTTGTCCCAAGTCCTTGGCAGAGGTAACTTTAAATCCTCTAAAAACTGGTAAATGTTTGTCCTGGGTTCAGCTGTAACAGTTATTTTTTTCCTTCCTAGTAGCTGGTGCAATGATTTGTTTTGGTTTTACTCTGGGAACAACACTGATAACACACCAATGTTTTAACTGTTGCTAAGTAATGCCTACTCTGATCAAGGACTTCCCCACTCTCGCGCTCCACCAGTGAGGAGGGACTCAAGAAGCTGGGAGGAAGCAGAGACCTGACCCAAACTAGCCAAAGGGGTATTCCATACCACAGCACGTCATCCCCAGTACATATGTTGGGGGGGGGGAGTCACCCAGAAGGCCCAGATCACTGCTTGGGTTGGCTGTCTGTTGGTGGGTGGTGAGCACTTGTATTGTGCATCACTTGTGCTTATTGGTTTTTTTTCCCCCTTCCCTTTTTATTTTTATATTCTCTCCCCTTGTAAAAACAATCATGGCAAGGGAAATAACTACTAGTAGTAGTTTTGTATTATATTTTCGTTACTGAAGTGTTATCTCAGCCTGTGGGGTTTATATTCTTTTGATTCTCCTCCCCATCCCACTGGGAGCTGGGGGGTGAAGAAGGTGGGGAGTGAACAAGTGGCTGCATGGTTCTGAGTTACTGGCTGGGCTTAAACCATGACAAAACCCATGACAACTTTATTTTAACTCTGGTTGACCTCAGGTTATATTACTTCTGAGATCTTTGTACATACCTGTTCAAAAACAGACACCAGAATTTGGCAAAATATTTGTTTGTTTGTTTGTTTTTTAGCTTGAACTTCAGAAGAGAGGATTTAAAGTGGGGGGAGAAGAGCATGACATCTTGCCTGAAGGGAAAACTGAATTTGTAGGCAAATGCTCCAGGCAGAGACAAATTCCTTTTCCTGAAAACTGACTGTGCATGTGACAAAACCTGTATAAACAGCTTGCTGGAAAAAGCTTTGCAAAATATATCAAACCTACTGAAATGTGAAATTATGAAACCCTCTAGTGGTTGAAATAAGAGATGCAACTAAAAAAATCTAAAGGAAACATCGTTTTCAACAAAAACTCAAACTCAACTTTACAAACCTTGCTATTTTAGTTTTTAACTAACTAACTAACACCCCATAAAATATATATGGGGTGTTCTGACTGTCTCTCTTACCAGGAAAGCTGTGCCCTGCCCACCACAGCTCAAAATAGGGTGGAAAGCCATTATCCTGTTAGTGCTATGCAAAAAAAACCATGTATGTGTACCATTCTGTGATTCTGTATTTAGTAACTGCAGACGATTTGAGTTTTTCTTCTTAAAGACACAGTCCAAATATTACAGTAGATAATTCTGAAAAAAATCCACCTCAATATCAGCATTAATCTAGCTTGCAGATAAAAAGACAATTATCCTAGACACCTGCCCTACTTACTTAACCTCAAACATTCCAGTCCAACTGTTTCAAGCCTTAAAACAAAGCAAAGCTCTAACTCTACCCTATTAATGCCTCCACGGCCCCATTACATTTATGTAGTACTTCTTACACCCACTGTAAGCTGATCAATTGAGCTTGGTGCTGACTGCCGCTACCAAACTGTCCATCATCTACCAAACTGTAGCAATGAAATGGTAGAAGAGATAGAGAGAGGGACCAAAAAATAAATTCAAAAGAGGAAGAAACAGCATGTAACTGTAAGATAACAACCTGCCGCCTCGTTTGAGCCTCTCAGAGCGGAAGTTCTCATAATGAAGATCCTGGGTCACCTCCTGAAGATCTTGCATATGGGTGCTGGAAGAATAAAAATCATTAAAAGATAAAATATACTTGTGTCACATCAGCTTGTTTAATGAGCTCTCACATTCAGCACTGTATGGGTCAAAGTGTTCGGCATGCACACCCATCTAACGTGCTGATTTAAAATGTAATTTAATTCCAGTTAGAATTAAACTTGGCTAGGGATACGAAAGATAACAGGAAGGGATTCTATAGGTACAGCACGCATAAAAGACAGACTAGGGACAACGTGGGCCCTCTCTGGAAGCCAGCAGAACTGTCTACCCTGGATTTGGAAAAGGCTGAGGTTCTTAATGACTTCTTTGCCTCAGTCTTCACTGGAAAATGCTCTGACCACACCACCCAAGTCCTGGAAGGCAGGGGCAGGGACTCTGAGAATGAAGACCTTAGGCCCACTGTAGGAGAAGACCTGGTTTGACACCATCTTAAGAATCTGAATGTGCACAACTCCATGGGACCTGAAGTCCATCTGCGGGTCCTGAAGGAGCTGGCAAATGAAGTTGCTAAGCCCCTGTCCATCATACTTGAAATATCATGGCAGTCAGGTGAAGTTCTCAATGACTGAAAAAAGGGAAATATAACCCCCATTTTCAAGAAGGGGAAAATGGACGACACAGGGAGCTACAAACCAGTCAGTCTCACCTCTGTGCCTGGCAAAATCTTGGAGCACATCCTCCTGGAAGGCACACTAAGGAACATGAAAAACAACAAGGTGCTTGGTGACAGCCAGCATGGCTTCACTAAGGGGAAATCCTGCATGACCAATTTGGTAGCCTTCTATGATGGGGCTATGGAATTGATGGACAGGGGTAGAGCAGCTGACATCATCTACCTGGACTTAGGCAAAGCGTTCAACACTGTCCCACATGACATCCTTGTCTCTAAATTGGAGAGACATCAATATGATGGATGGACCACTTGGTGGATAAAGAACTGGCTGGACGGCCGCATGCAAAGAGTTGTGGTCAATGGCTCAGTGTCCAGCTGGAGACCAGTAATGAGTGGTGTCCCTCAGGGACTGGTGTTGGGACCGGGCTTGTTCAACATCTTTGTTGGTGACATGGACAGTGGGATTGAGTGCACCCTCAGCAAGTTTGTTGATGACTCCAAGACCCGTGGTCCCGTTGAAATGCTGGAGGGAAGGAATGCCATCCAGAGGGACCTTAACACACTTGAGAGGTGGGCTGATGCCAACCTTATGAAGTTTAACAATACCAAATGCAAGGTCCTACACCTGGGTCAGAGCAATCCCAGGCACAGCTACAGGTTGGGCAGAGAAGAGATTCAGAGCAGCCCTGCAGAGAAGGAATTGGGGGTGTTGGTCAATGAGAAAATTAACATGAGCTGGCTTCAGTGTGCACTTGCAGCCCAGAAAGCCAACCATATCCTGGGTTGCATCAAAAGAAGCGTGACCAGCAGGTCAAAGGAGGTGATCCTGCCCCTCTACTCTGCTCTCCTGAGACCTCACTTGGAGTATTGTGCACAGTTCTGGTGTCCATAAAAAGGACATGCAGCTGTTGAAACAAGTCCAGAGGAGGGCCACAAGGATGATCAGGGGCTGCAGCACCTCCCATATGAAGACGGGATGAGAAAGTCAGGGCTGTTCAGCCTGGAGAAGAGAAGGCTGCGTGGAGACCTCATAGCAGCCTTCCAGTATCTGAAGGGGGCCTATAGGGATGCTGGGGAGGGACTCTTCATTAGGGACTGTAGTGATAAGACAAGGGGTAATGGGTTAAAACTTAAACAGGGAAGTTTAGATTGGATATAAGGAAGTTCTTTACTGTGAGGGTGGTGAGGCACTGGAATGGGTTGCCCAGGGAAGTTGTGAATGCTCCATCCTTTGCTGTGTTCAAGGCTGGGCTGGACGGAGCCTTGAGTGACATGGTTTAGTGTGAGGTGTCCCTGCCCATGGCAGAGGGGGGTGGAACTAGATGATCTTAAGGTTCTTTCCAACCCTAACTATTCTGTGATTCTAATTTAGGTCAAATAGGTGCAATGAAAGACACAGAGAGAGACCACCTCAGACCCTGAGGCAGCACTGGTGTTAGTTGTTCTCCTGGGTGAGGCATTTGATAAAGCAGTGCTAGGCAGGTGAAGCAGAGTAGCAAAGCCTGAAAAAGAATCAACCAGTGGACTTCTGAAGTCTCCTCCTTTTCAGATTGTACGTACATATAGATACATTTAAATAAGAACAAGGAGTGAAGCAACCCATTTTATGTTCCTGGGGATCTGAATAGCAACACAAAGCTCTGTTTGATGAAAGAGTTAGACAAAAGATTATTTTTGCAGAATCCCTAATTCAGAATGGAAAGAACCTATTGAACCTAAGTGGTCCAATTCCTGCCTAGGCCTCGGCCAGCTAGGTCAAGGCTGCTCATGGCTTTCTCCAGAAAAATTCTGCATTTCTGAGGATTCCACAACCACTCCAAATGCCCAATACAGTGTTTAGTATCTTCCTAATGATTGTTTTTTAAACTACTATCTAATTGGAATTTTCTCACTTACATTAACATGGTCCTCAGCTTCAGGAAGTCATTATGTTCCGGATTTTCCACTTCAACTACACCCCAGGGGTAAAGTCGACCTCTAACTTTTTTACCTTTGGCTTCAATAAGTTGATTGGAACCCACTACACAAAATGGAATGCTGGCCTGAAAGCAAAAAATGCAAAAATTACTAATAACTAACCTGAACAAACAACTCAAGTTCTGCTCAACAATGCATATTATGGCAATAAGTTCTCAATGCTTTTAAATTTGAAGACACAGAGACACAGTGACTCACTCCAAGTCTCATCACAGGTCACAGAATGTACCTTGTTTTGAGCAGTCTGAAAAGATCCAGTATATTACCCACATCTGTAACTTTATGAAGCTTGTCATACCTTCAGGAGTCTAGTCTGCTCCTTAAAATCTTCATCCTCATCAGATTCAGCATCAGGCAGGTGATAAATCTTAATGCCATGCTCTTCTATTTCATCCAGAATCTGAGATTTATAATGTAAGGAACTGAGATGATATACATGTAAAGTCATAAAATCATAAAACAGTTAGGGTTGGAAAGGACTTTAAGATCATCTAGTTCCAACCCCCCTGGCATGGGCAGGGACACCTCACACTAAACCAATACCACCCAAGGCTCTGTCCAACCTGGCCTTGAACACCACCAAGGATGGAACATTCACAACTTCCCTGGGCAAAAAGTCAATGCTTTCAAATCTTAATGTAAAACTACTTAATTGGCAATACATAGTCTCTTGAGCAATGTGGGCCTATCTTGCTGATCTAAGTCACCTAGGAAGTACTTGGTTTTAAACACGATAATTTCTTCATGATATTCAACAACTACTTGCCACAGACTTTTAGACAAACAATAGTGTTCAAATGAACACTGTCCTTTTTGGACTACACATAAGAAATTTCACTCTTAAAATATTTGCAATTGTTTGTTTGGGTTTTTTTCTTATTATAAAGCATTGACTCAGAAGTCATAATTGCTTTGAACAGCCTATAACCCCTTGCTCTAGCAATCATGGAGTCATGGAATCAACCAGGTTGGAAAAGACCTTCAAGATCATCAGGTCAAACCATTCCATAGTGCTGCCAAGGGTATCACTAAACCATGTCGCTAAGGGCCTCATCTACAAGGTTTGTGAACACTTCCCGCTAAATTACTATTCAGAAGAGCAGGGGTAGGAGTGTTTCAAAACCTAACTAAGCTACAGACAACACAAACACTTTTTTCTGTCTTCATGACTGCCAAGAATGGCATCTGCAGCTGGAATCCCTTTGCCATAAATCCAAATTTTGTTCTTTAAAAAAATAAAATATTTCTGCAGAGTTTTATCAAAATACATATATCAAACTGAAGTATGTTTCTCCCATTTTTTGTTGCAAGCTTGGTCAGATAACTGGAATAATTTTCAGAATAATTGGGGGGGGAATCCCAGAAAAAAAACAGAAAAATTTTAAATAGAACACCTAAGACTGGATCAAGTCAAGACAGGAAAAGTGTGTCTTCTGGCAAATCAATTCTAACACTTCTTTCTAAATGTCATACTGTTACTAACTCACAATGGCTTGCTGCGTTTTCCCCCTCCTCAGCAAATAGAGCATCAAGTCCTGCAAGACTGAATGTGTTAAGGGATCTTGTCTATGGAAGAAATATCTGGAATGTATTAAAAGAGGGTGACATAAGGGAGGAAAAACAATCCCCAGGTCAGAAAAATCTCTGAAAATCCTATTTTTCAATCATCAGAATACTGAAAATAACACACATGATAGATGCAGATAACTCTCTTTGCTTTTTGTTTGGATTAAACAGGTAAGCGAGGAATGACCATTAAAAAATGCACTTAAATATTTTTCCAAGGTTTCAAGATTCCCTCTAATGTAATTGGAAATGTAGCCAGTCTGCCATTTCACAGGCAACATTTTAAGGTGAATTTCCCAGATGTCACAGACATAATAGAAGAATTTACAAGATATCAAACTACATATGAAATGACGTTTTCTTGGCTAGGACAGGTAAGGTTGCATGAGAACACCCCTCTCTTCAGCAACTGTGCTGATGTAACCAAAGTACAATATTTTTCTGCAAGCTACAAGAATACTTACCCTTTTCTTTAGTCTTTCTCGCTCTTTCAGTGAAAGAGTATCAGCTTTTGCAATCACTGGTACAATATTTACTTTGTTGTGTATAGCCTTCATGAACTCAACATCCAGAGGCTTAAGGCTAAAATTAAGATGTGGAAAAAGTTTAATTTATTTTTAATCTAGACTACCAATTTATTTTCACACCAGCACAGAACTCTCTTTACACGGAAAGAAATTAACACACCCAGTTAACCCAAAGAGTTATAGTATTTCCTTAAACAATGGCAATCTCATTTGGAAAAATTTAACTCAACAGGCACAAACCAAATTCCCAAAATAAAATAATTTAGAAAATACAATCATACAAACACCTACCCATGACCAAATGGCGAAATGAAATAGAAGCAGCAATGGACCCGGTTATCTATGATGTGTCTTCTGTTCAAACCACTCTCATCATGCAGGTATCGCTCAAACTGCTCATCAATATACGAGATTATGGTCTTGAAACTGGAAAACATACATGGATTTGAGAAATCAGGATCATTCCCAAATAATCATTTCAGTGGTATTTCAAAGGTAATATTAAACCAAACACATGCTGCTACTGAACCAACCTGCTGCTGGACAAAAACTCATTTAGAGATGCTGTAAAACTGCAGGAGTAGAAAAGCATATATCTTAAAATGTTGATTAAATTTTAGAATAACTACTCTGCATATTTATATATACATAAGATAAAATATACATATATATAACACACAACTTCCATAGTAAACTTCTCATGGGTTTAGATGTAATTTTAACCAGTATTAATAACACATGCTCAAGATAGTCTAAGCTTCTTGTTCCAAATTTATTTAAAATCATAAAATGGTTTGGGTTGCAAGAGACCTTTAAAAATCACCTAGTCCAATCCTGGCACAGACAGTGGCATCTTTCAGTATGTCAGGTTGTTCAAAACCCCATCCAACCTCACCATGAACACTTCCAATGACAGGGCATTCACAGCTTCTCTGGAAAACCTGTTCCAGTATCTCACCACAACAACTGTAAAAAACTTTTTCCTTATGAGGATAAGGAGTTGGGGGTGTTGGTCGATGAGAAGTTCACCATGACCTGGCAGTGTGTGCTTGCAGCCCAGAAACCAACCATGTCCTGGGCTGCATCAAAAGGAGCGCGGCCAGCAGGTGGAGGGAGGGGATTCTCTCCCTCTACTCTGCTCTCGTGAGACCCACCCCTGCAGTCCTGTGTCCAGCTCTGGGATCCCCAAAACAAGAGGGGCTTGGAGCTGCTCGAGTGAGTCCAGAGGAGACACAAAGATGCTCCGAGGGCTGGAGCACCTCTGCTATGGAGCCAGGCTGAGAGCTGGGCTTGTTCAGCCTGGAGAAGAAAAGGCTCCACAGAGACCTTAGAGCAGCCTCCAGTGCCTAAAGGGGCCTACAGGAAATCTGGAAAGAGACTTTTTACGAGGACCTGTAGGAACAGACCTAGGGGGAATGGCTTTAAATTGACAGAGGGGAGATTTAGATTAGACATTAGGAAAAAATTCTTCCCTGTGAGGATCAAGTCCTTTAGCATGCTCAAGTTCCTCAGGTGGCCTCAAACCTGATCCTCTCATGATAGGGACAACTTAATTTCATGTCTGTGCTTTGAGCTTCAGGGGTTTGAGAGATGTGGGAAGGATTACCTCTCATTTTAAGATTATTTCTCAGTATTTACTGTAATGTAAATTTCTTTAAAAAAAAAAACACAAACAAAAACAAACAAAAACCACAACCCAAACAATCAAACCCAAAGATGACGAAAATGTTCTTAAAAATGAAGCACAGAATCTGAGAACACTCTAATGAACATGGATAAGATCTAAAGGTGGATTTTTACTTGCACTAAATACTAGATGAATTACTTCCTCAAAGTATTGGTTAATTTCTTGTGCCTGGTGGTTCCACTGCTTTCTGACTATAGAAAAAAATCAAGGTCACTGTTCACATAAAACACTTCCAAACTTAAGGAAGTTAATAATGGCAAAAAAGAATTTTGTCATAAAACGTATTTTGAGCTGTGTAGAAGTTATTGATGCCTTATGACATGTATCTGAATTAGCTTGTAACATTGAAATTCAGCATTTCATATAAGACACCAAAGAAAGGTAAGATAACAACAGTAAAATCACTTTGAACCATTTCTGGAATGGATGTGTTTAAAAGAGCTACGGTTGCCACTGGGGACATCCTACTTTGAGCTGCCTATCATTATTAGTATAGCCCTACTTCAGTTATTTATTCTCACCCTCCTAGGACAAATATGAAATGGATGTCACTGCTTACACATACGTCAGTATATACTCTGTGTACATACCAGTCTCGACAATTGATAGCATCCCCATATCCTGGTGTATCTACAACAGTCAGGCGTAGCTTCACACCCCTCTCTTCAATTTCTACTGTTGAGGCTTCAATCTGCACAGTGCGCTCAATCTTCTCTGAAAGACAATGAAGTTGATCTTTCGGAATAGAATTTGTAAGACACTGTCATTTTGAGATAAACTCAAAAGACTAATTTGCAGATTTAACTCTATAAAGATTATTCCATATATTATCTCCTAAGACCTGATAACTTAAAGACTCACTATTAAAGGTCTTCAGATTTTGTTAGAAGATACAGGAGATTTCATACTGGTTTTAAATATAACAGAAACTAATGCAAAAGGGACTGAGAAAAAAAATAAACCAGTAGGTAATCAGCAATCTGGAGAACAATACTAAATTATACATAATGGATCTTTTTTTTCCTAAGGTTGAAAGTGATAAGTTATCATCAGCTAACATTGTAAATTATTAAAGCAAGTCATTCAACAGGTAGCAAAGGGGGGGGGGGGAATAGCCTCTTCCTCTATTTTCTTACACTATTCTCTTTCACTGGATTATTGTACACCTTGTTTAACAGAATAAAAAAGAGACAGGACTGAAGAAGAAAAGGAGGTGAAGTTCACATCCACTACATATCAACCCAAATCAAAGAATCAAGTTGCAATTCCAAGCGGGCATCAACAATGCATACATTTAGAATTGCAACAGAAAGAAAACTTCAGATTGTTTCTTACTGTGACACCATAACTTTTTTTTCTTTTCCTAAGCAAAAGAAGGGATTAACTTTCCCATATGAATACATCTGAGCACTAAACAAAGACCCCATATACATCCTGGGTACAGAGGGAACCAATTCCATGCAGCATCAGGAAACACATTAGAAATTGTTACAGCTAGGAATGACTACCAGCTGTTACTAAAATCCAGAGATAAAGCCACTGAACTCCAAAAATCATTGACAACAGATAAACTCGAACGAAAGCGTGTTTACCAGCAGCTCCTGGGATTATCCTTTCTGGGTAGAGATCTGTCAAGAAGAGGCTATTTATTAATGTAGATTTCCCCAATCCAGATTCACCTGTGATTCAATATAAAAATAAATTCAACATATTTACATAAATAATTTCAACTATATCCAGACAGTATCATCTAACTATATATTTTTTCATGTTAAATGTAAATATTTTCATTTAAAAATTTACACCTTATAATTTTGTATTAGAAGGGTTTGCACAAAAAGGTTGAATAACAATTTTTACATCTCAGCTTTATAATACACTTTCTCAGAGCTTTCACTGATGATTTTTAATTAAACCTGTTAGTAGAGTTCTGCTCAATTTAGACTTAAAATTTCCCCATTTCATGTCTCCTGATTTGTTAAGGCATGCTTTTCTGCTACCACTTCAGGATGTGAAAAATCATACACAAGGGGAAGCTGGATCCTGCCTAGGCTATATCATCAATTCACGTAACAAAAAAGGCACTTCTGAACTTCTGCACAGCCAGCCCTCAAAAAGTATGACTTATTTCTGATTTTTATGCTAATATGGCAAACAAGGACCCAAGGTAAGTGGCCACTGAGCATACACACAGAGTAATTTTTTCACTGATGAAACTGGGGATTACCACATTGTACCACAAATATATTTTTGTTATAGGGCTACTGACTGAGCCATAAAGAGTTCAAAAGCCACCTAATTAGTTAAAGATCAAGATCTTCATCAGAACAGATGTTCACAGCATAAAAAAGACTGGCAGCTCAAAGGGATCAGTATTAAATTCACTGAACAAATCCTTTTCCTAGAATTTTATTTCAGGTGTTGATAGAGGTAATTAATATATATATACGTTAAAAATGATGGGCTACATGACCCCTCTGAGTAACTGTACTGGGTTTGTGCAGCAGGGGTTTGGTAGTGGGGGGATGGGGCACATGGATGGCTTCTGTGAGAAGCTGTTAGAAGTTTCTCCCATGTCTCATAGAGCCAATGCCAGCTGGCTCCAAGTAGGACTCACTACTGACCAAGGCTGAGACCATCAGTCACAGTGGTAGCACCTCTGAGATAACATATTTAAGAGGAAATAATTAGTACACAGGAGCAATTGCAGCTGGAGAGAGAAGTGAAAACATGTGAGAAAGAGCCCAGCAGACACTAAGGTCAGTGAGGAAGGAAGGACAGGAGGTGCTCCAGACACCAGAACAGATTCTCCTGCAGCCCACAGTGCAGACCATGGTGAGGCAGGCTATGCCCCTGCAAGCCCATGGAGGTCCACAGTGGAGCAGGTATACTAACAATGTGTGGGTCACCCTTTTCTCATGGTTGTCCTATGTTTCCAGCTCAGCCTCGGATTGGAGATTGTATCTCCAATCTTTGCTTCACAACCTGATGACTCTCTGCCTCCTGCAAGCCCTTTATCTCCTCTGGAACCTGGGTTTCCTGGAAACCCAAGTCCTGGGATGCCTGTGTCACCTGTTGGTAGTTAAATGGTATTTCCATCACTTTGGGGTACCTTTCTCTCTTCTCCTTGACAGAACCACAGCACAACTCAATGCATTTCAAAAGTGCAGACTCAGAGGTACCTCCTGCCACTGCTCTCTCAAGAACTGTTGTATTTTCCTGGTTGGCCTGAAACACGGCATGGCTGCAGAGACCTGCAATTCTGGACAAAGCAGTCCAAGTAGGTGAGCTCTTGTCAAAGGAAGCACCACTCTGGTTCTCTGTAGCATCGACCTCATGAACATGATTGTCAAACCACATGTGTGCAACAGTGTCTGTCACTGGGGTTAGAGTGGCTGCAGTGTTGGTATAGCTGCTGTGCCTGGGGGTTGAGTATCTGTGTTGGCTATTGCTTTGCTTTGCCAACAGATCAATAGACACCTTTTTCCAAAGACACTCTGTAGGCACAGGCCAAGTCCCTGCAGCCAATGGAGACCCCACACTGAAGTAGGTTTGCTGGGAGGACTTGTGACTGCACAGGGGACCCACACTGGAACAGCCTGTTCCTGAGGGACTCACCCTGTTGAAAGGGCCCACACTGGAGCAGTTCATGAAGAACTGTAGTCCATGGAAAGGACTCTCATTGGAGAAGCTAATGAAAAACTGTCTCCTGTGGGAGGGACCCCATGCTGGAGCAGGGGAGGAAGGAGTGGCAAACAATGTGTGACCCATTTCCTGTCCCCCTGCACCACTGTGGGAGAGGAAGTAGAGAAAATCACTAGTAAAGTTGAGCCCAAGAAAAAGGGAGGGGAAAGGCATTTTTAAGATCTGGTCTTATTTCCCATTACCCTACTTTGAATTAATTGCTAAATTAAACTAATTTCTCCAAGTCAAGTCTGTTTTGCCAACAGTGGTAACTGGAGAGTGATCTCTCCCTGTCCTTATCTTGACCCAAAAGCCTTTGACTATATTTTCTCTCCACTGTCCAGCTGAGGGGTAGTGATAGAACAGCTTCAGTGAGCACCTAGCATGAAGCTAGGGTTAACTCACCACAGGACCACACTATTCTGCCATAGGAGTCTAACAGATAACTGAGCAAGAGGAAAAAAAAAAAAAGAGATGAAATAATTTTTTAAATAAAGATTTGACTAGGATCTGCCAGTTTTTAATGCTTTATAGAATGCACCTCTCAAGACTGGCGCAGCCTTCTCCAGTGAGAGAGACAAAGTAACAGCCAAATGGCATCATTTCAGCAAAACCCACAAAAGTATGATTTTAACCAGCGGCATGTTCCATACTTCCAGTCTGGGTAAATATTACATGTAAAACAAACCAGTTTTCATAGACACTGTCAAGGATTATACTGGCCACAATAGTTAAGAGTTTAGTGACCCCTAAGAGAAATGACTATCTAGATGAAGTCATAGCTTAATAATGGGAATGAACATGAAATTGTTAAATAAATAAAAGTGGAAGCAATACAGCCAAGCAGCCAAGTTGTTATAAATTCCAGCTCACATTATCACAAACAATAAACAATAGCATAAAAAATGCTAATAATAAAAAATTTTGATTAAGACTCTGTCAGTGCAGACAGCTTTTAAAGAAACATTCTCCTGCTCAGAAACTAAGAAGCATGGCAACTTAATGAAGAATAACAGTTCAATACAGACATTGTGATATAGCCCATGAGAGCATACTTCAATCCCATGCATACTTCAAGAGAAAGAATTCACATTCCAAACTGTTGAAATAATCAACATTCTACAGCATGGTTTATCTTACGTTGCCTGCCTCCCTCTGCTAGTGTATCTTAAAATATCACTCCTAATTTTCAATGAAACTACGTTTTTACAAGTTTTCTTCCTGTAGTTTTCATTTATCCCTTAGAATATTGGCAAATTTTAATAAGACACAGGTGGAGTTAACCGCCTTTCTGTTACTCTGACACCATGTCTTTTCCCCCCTATTTTCTATTTTACAAGAGGCTAGGAAAAACTGTTTGCTTTCTACCATTTCACATAGCTTTCTGAAAGAACTGTTTCACTTAGCACTATTTGGAAATTAAGTTTAGCTGCAGCAGAGAAAGCAGGTCTTTTGATTCTCAGAACTGTCCAGATTTTTAGGACCACTGAACAGTAAATTTTGAAGAGTTATAGTAGATACCGTAATTTGAAACATCTGCTTATAGTTTGGCTTTACACTTAGATTTTATAAGATATCCATTATGATATCCTAAGTAAATCCAATGAAAGATACCATAAAGTTCTAGAAGACAAAAATAAGGCACAGCTCTGTGCAACACTGAACTACAAGAGACAGAAACAGGATAAAAGCAATGCCAGGACTCTCATTTGGCAAAACTAATGAAAGGTTTGAAGACAGACTCTTTCTGTAACTACTGGAATTCAGAACAATTAAGAACTTAAACACCTCCTATCATGTACTGCCTCACCTCTTCTTCTCATTTCCACTGTGATCTCTCTTGGACAAGCATAACACGCAAATGGGATTTACTTCTTATTACACCAGGAAAAAAAGAACCTGATTCTGTTAGAGTATACTTCTTTGCAAAAGCCTATTTTAAAAGGGAAAATTACAGAATTCAAACACCAAAACCCAGAAGCCAGAGCTCTCAAGCACCATGACCAGGAAAGATACAGAAGATGCCCAAGTCTGATTTGGGATCCTATTTCATTTGTAAAAGTTACATTGACTTCTCGAAGGACCAACATATTTCTGCAGACACACTAAATTTTTCTTTCCTTTCTACATACCAACACAGAAACTCAGTGAAATATCAGACAGAATTAAACTTTGACTTATAACTGCTAAAAGAAAATCAAGATCAATTTAAAAAGTAACAGCTCCCATTAAAACCAACTAATCAAATTCTTATTCTTCTCTTAGAATAGTATTTAGAAGGGGTGGAAAGACCACAGCTCTGACTCTTTGGAACTGCAGAAGCATAAACGTTTTTTAATAGAATAGTCTCCTTAATACTGTTTTCTTAATCAAAACATGCAAACATTTCACTCAAGTGCAAAACCAGTCTTAAACTGTATTTTAAATAGAATGCTTGAATTCTGTAAGACAGGAGAGAAGGAAGGAAGCAGTGATCACTGGAGCGCGCGACAGATTTTTTTCACTTCACCCACAAACTTGTTAGTGTATTCAGTTTGTGATGGGGACAACAACTGCTGCATGAATTCATAAACCTACAAAAGAAAGTAAAATGCTACAGTATATAAGAGCTTTCTAATGCAAGCTGGAGACTTACAATAGTGGAAGTAACATTAATTCCAAATTCCCTGTGAGGAAGTACTAATTTGGAGAAAGACTATAAAATATTTCCTTACCAACCACCATAAGAGTAAATTCAAACCCCTTTTTCACAGACTTTCGGTGAACTTGATTGGGCAGGTTTGCAAATCCAACATAGCCAGGGGTTTCTGGATTGGTAAACTGAGCAGGCTGTTGCTAAAATAAAAAATAAGACAATAATAAGCAACCACTCGTGACATACTTGTTTGTATAACTGCTTTCCTCAGTTATTTCAAATGGCTTTAAGCTACACAACATGCAGAGAGGAAACTACACAGAAAAATACTACTTGGCATTTTCACAATGTAATGCAGAGCAACTGCATTCACCTAGAGTTAAAAAGCTTCATTTATTCAGCTATCCAGCCAAGATCACTTGAAGAAGAAAAAATTCTGAGCATTTATTTACTGAAGTATTAAGTGCATGCACTAATCACACAGTTTCTAGACAGTGTCTTCACACATGCTTAAAATAAAAAAGCTTGTGTCCAATGTTTATGGACCTAAATAAAAAGGTGACCATTTCTAATTAGTTTTTAACACATCCAAATAAAAAGCCTAAATGACTACTGAAGTGACAGACATCTGCTGGAAGTTCTCTTTCGAGATCTCTTTTAAGGAGGGGGGGACAGAATTTACACAATAGTGTTTGAAATGCCCACAACTACAAACACTGCAGAGAAATCCTTAGATCTGCTAGTTTCCCTCTTCAGACACATTACCCTGAGTATCTTTTAAATCGAATCACTCCAATAAGCTAACATGGATGTTTTATCTGTCATACCAAGTGCAGGGAGCCAAAAATTAAATGTATCCCAGCGTGTCAATAATACATTAAGTTACCACATTGTTTATGAAGGATTTTACTGTAAGATCAGTTACCATATTAGTAAATGAAGAAATTAAATCTCAGAACATCCTGTTCTTAATGATTCCTGCTCAAAACACAGTAGCAGAATGGAAGTTTCAATGAAAATGCACCAGGGAGCTTGTATGCAACTCCATAACCAAAATTAAATCCTTCCAAGAATATTAGTTAACTGCAGAGGTTTATACTTCTAGGAAACTAATGTATGCTTTACATCATTCAAGTTTTCAATACTATGTGATATAATATTATGTGAATTCTCTCAAATTTATTACCCAATTTAGCATACACATCATCATCAAACACAATGAAACTTACACATTCTGCCCTTGTAGATTAACATTTAAAAACATATGCCTGTTTCAGATTGTTACACTGGAAGACAGAAATGCTATTCTTACCTTGGACATTTTTATGGAAGGTCAGGAACAAATCTGGAAAAAAAGTAATGTTTTCCAGCTTACTAAGAATCATACAAAAAAAAAAACACCACAACCCCAAAACCCCACAAACAACAACAGAAATCAGAAAACATAACATCCACTGTTGCACATTAAATTAAAAAAGAAGCGTTCTTGACTGGCTGTCTAGATTTTGGAACAGTGTCAACTGCTCCACAGAGTAACAGTACTTGACTCTTCGGTGCTAGGGCAGAGCACAATTTTCGGCAACCATCACTCCTATTAACAACAATAAATTCAAGCAACATGAATATGGGGTGCTAAAGGCACCAAATATATGACAAACCATTTTGAAGCCTTCAGAGGCAAAGTTCACATCCTTTCCGGAAACTAACCAAACCAAACACTGCTAAAGACATCTCACTATTTACAGGAAACATATCTTTCAAAGCTAAGACACCCCCCCCAAAAAAAAACAAACAAAACAAAACAACTAAGGTCTAGTATTCTTTCCTTTTAAGCCTCCTTCCCCTCAGCATTTCCTTTCATGCTTGAGTGTCTGTAAAGAGCTGACAGCTTCAAAATGAAGCATTTTCTCCTTTCATCTGGATGTTTGCAAACTCAGTCACTTTAACTTCTGTTGCCAAGGTAAGATTTTCACATGCAGCTGCATCACAAAGCAGACAGGCAAAAAAAAAACCTTAAAAAATCATTTAACACCTCTATGACAAAGACCCATCAACACGCTTGTATCTCATTAACTTACAGGAGTTAAAGAGATCATGTAATTTACTACGGCAATATAAAAATGTCAGCTGGTATCTTCAAGTGATGAGTGCTCCAAGACCCCTTTCTAGAGCCCCCCTTGGCTTGCCCTCTTAGCGAAAAAGGTACCTGTTCCCACTCACAAAGCTTATATATCACAGCCACCTCTTATCTATCTAGCTCACTCCCACTTCCATTCTATGGTTTTAAAATGATCACCATCTGATTCTTTCTGTCTTCCAAGCAGATTTGTGTCAGTGAATTTAGCTTCATGTGAAATGCCACTACACTGCTTCAATGCACAGCACCCTCCAGTCTGCCCCTCCCATCAAAAAGCCATCTTCAGGTCAAAGCAAACTGCCCAATGTCAGATGGACAGAAACCCAGTCTCTTTTGTGCTAAGTAGAAGGCAAAGTTGTTTTCAAACTGGTAATGATTTATGGCAGCTATCACATTTCTTCTCAAAGCTACTGTATTTTATATATATATATATATGCAAGTGCAAACTAATACAGGTTTATGAAGATGCAACTTTTTAGCTCACTATGATTACTTCACTGTTAACAGTTACCAAGCTGGTTTCCCTCTCCACTCCCAAGATAAGAGGTCAGTTCTGAGGAAGGCCTTTTGATGGGAGAAACAGACTAAAGGATCTGAGCACTGAAGCAGTTTGCTGTCATCTCACATGAAGCTGAACTCACTAACAAAAATCTGGCATCCTGATTATATACACGGAATAAAAACTGAATAACATACTTATCAAATGACATTTCATGCTGAAAATCCACTATCTGAAATGTCTGTATTTCAGTCAATAAGCAGCTCTATGAGCAGTGGAGTAAGTCTTCAACTACAGAGGAGGTTATCTGGGAGTCTTTTATCATCATGTAAGATTGCTTTGATAGCAACTCTTCCTTCCAAGAGTGTTTCCTGCCGAGTGATGTCACTGACTCCTACTTAACCATTCTCCATGAGATCTTCAATGCCAAACAAAACTAGATCCTGCTAGAACACAGAAGGACATTCTTTTAATTCACGAGGCTTGTCTGTCGCCCAACTATTTCTTAGAGGCAGGCCAAGAGCAAAGTTTCTCACAGCTACCAAGAAACAGAAGAGAGCTATTTATGCAGATGGCTGCAGTTACATTAGGTTTTAGCATATGGATCAAGCACAGAAATCTTTCACAGATCTTTCCCACAGCATTCCCCTGAGGGCAGCGGCTGAGTGCTCCCACATAAGCAGGAGCACGCAGTCCAGATTTTCCTCTGGAGCTGGTCCATCATGTTCCCTACCCTCCGGTTTTAACAACCCCGCTGGAGTTTTGGTTTGGGTTTTGGGTTTGGCTTGTTTTCTTCAGGCGAATGTCTTCTGATGCACTTCGTGCAAACGGCCCTAGAGTGAATATTTCAACCATTCTGAAAAGAGCGAACAGCATCTTCGAGGCCCTCCCGTTTCGCGGGTACCTCAGACACCCAGGCGACACCACCCCGTCACCCCCTCACCCCACCGCCCCCTCTCCTTCCCCTTCGCTTCGCCGCCCCTTGCCCTCACCGTCTCTCCTCTCACCTCAGCACCCGAACCGCGCCGCGCACAGCCAACGTCCACAACCGCAGCTCCCGCGCGCGCGCGCCGTTGGGGGTAAGTGGGAGGAGCGCGACGGCTCCACCCCGCCCCTCGGGCCCCGCCCCAAGGGCTGTGCCGGGACAGGCGCGCATGCGCCCTGCCCGTTCCCATAGCAACCCGCCGGCCAAGGGTACGTGGGGGGAGGGATCATCCTTATGTTGGTAGGTCACGCACATCCCTCTTCTTTACCAAGATGGCGGCCGGCCCCTCGGCCTCGTACCCAGCATAGGCTTCGCTGCGGGCCTACTAGAGGTAAAGCCGGTCCCCGCGCCCAGTGGCGCCGACCGCGCGGGAGGGCGGCATAGGGTGGGGAGCGCCTGAGGTAAGTGAGGAGGAGGGCGCGGCCCAGTTGGGCGGTCGAGCGGGTTCTGCTGCCTCCAACAAGATGGCGGCAGCAGAGAGACGGGCTCCCCGGGCAGAACGTCTAGCGAGCGCCCGGCTCCGCTCTATGGTCTCGGCCTTTCCGATTGGCGACGGGTGCGCCACGTGCCGCCGGGCGCCCTCCCCCTCGTACCACGCTTCTCTCCTTCGGGACGGGCGTAGGAGCTGCTCGGAGGGGTCTCTCCGCCGCTCCCTCGGGCAGCGGCTGCTCCGCGCTGCGCCAGGGAGCGAACAAAAAACATGAGTCATGCCCAGCTTCCACCCCTTGCGGCGGCCGTGGGTCAGCCGGCGGTGTTTCCGGGCTGCCCCTGCGTGGGGCCTCCAGCCGTGACACGGATGAGGTCGTCTTCCACAGCCCCGCCGCCGTGTCAGCGTGATGGCAGGTCCTGTCCTGGGGTCTGGCCGGCCTCTTGGACTGTTAGAGTTCGAGCTTGAGTGTAATAGTCTCATTTTGCACTGCTGGTGGGTGAGGTTATGGTCATGGGCTGTTCTGGAGAAAGGTTTCTGTCTCACCTGTGACTTTCAATGAAGACAGGCTAAGAGAGCTGGGCTTGTTCAGCCTGCAGAAGAGAATAGTCTGGGGAAACCTTAGAGCAGCTTTCAATATCTGAAGGGGCTGTCAAGAAATCCAGGGAGTGGGAGGGAGGGGACGGACAATGACACTTTTTACAAGGACATGTAGTGACAGGACAAGGGGGATGGCTTTGAGCTCACAGAGGGGAGATTTAGATTAGATATGAGGGAAGAAATTCTTCCCTGTGATGGCGCTGAAGCACTGGCACAGGTTGCCCAGAGAAGCTGCGGCTGCCCCCTCCCTGGCAGTGTTCAAAGCCAGCTTGGATGGGACTTTGAGCAACCTGGTCTAGTGGAAGGTGTTCCTGTCCATGGCAGGGGGTGTGGAACAAGGGGAGCTTCAAGGTCCTTTTCAACCCAAACAATTATTTGATTGTTCAGGCAGAGCCAGCTACCTCTGTGTGATAGAAGGGAAGTTGCTCTTTTTCACTAACTGCTCTCTAGTCCTGCAGTGTGGTTTTATTGCAGGTTATTTATAGAACAGGGTGATCCTGCAGTTAAGCAGAACTGAAGAGGGTTAAGCACAGGATGCTCATGGTTCTTGGGCCCAGTTTGGCTGTAGCTGAAGTGGCTTGGCATATGGTAAGTAGTGCTTCTTCTGCTGGCCTTCCCCAAGCAGTAGGAAAGGATTCCCAACTGGCAAGAGCAATTCCTTCCACTGAAACACAAGAAGCAAGAGAGCTGGTTGTGCTGGGAGTGTTAGTAATAGCATCAGCAGTTCACTTGTAACTGATGAGAGCCAAGGTCCTTGAATTCACAGCTCCAGTTTGGAATTTGAATTCAAATTTGCAACTCTATGGCTGGGAGAAGAGAAGATTAGAGACACTGAGTACCAAGGAATTTCATAGAATCATAGACTAGTTCGGGTTGGAAAGGACCTTAAGATCATTTAGTTCCAACCCCCCTGCCATGGGCAGGGACACCTCACACTAAACCATGTCACCCAAGGCTCTGTCCAGCCTGGCCTTGAACACTACCAGGGATGGAGCATTCACAACTTCCCTGGGCAACCCATTCCAGTGCCTCACCACCCTCACAGTAAAGAACTTCTTCCTTATATCGAATCTAAACTTCCCCTGTTTAAGTTTTAACCCATTACCCCTTGTCCTATCACTACAGTCCCTAATGAAGAGTCCTTCCCCAGCATCCCTGTAGGTCCCCTTCAGATACTGGAAGGCTGCTATGAGGTCTCCACGCAGCCTTCTCTTCTCCAGGCTGAACAGCCCCGACTTTCTCATCCCGTCTTCATATGGGAGGTGCTGCAGCCCCTGATCATCCTTGTGGCTCTCCTCTGGACTTGTTTCAACAGTTCCATGTCCTTTTATGTTGAGGAGACCAGAACTGTACATTTTCCTTTTTTTTTTTTTTTTGGTTGTTTTTTTTTTTTTAAAGAGTCACTTCTTATACTGGTGTGTAATAACAGAGAAAATTCTGCACACTGATATGTGCTGCATTGACTTTTTGCATATTTTCTTTTTTGTAAAGCCAATAAAGCTGTTGCCCAATGATTTGTCCTCACTTTTTCCTACTGTTGCTCTTCAAATGCAACAAAATTGTTTTCAGTTAGAAGACAGTTTAACAGATATGATAATGGCTTTTTTTTTTTTTTATTACTTCTCTTCCTCCCCCCACCATTCAACCCAGACTTGAAAGTGGTGTTTCATGTATTGTTCCACAGGGGGATTGGATATTCCTCCCTCTGACAGAGGAGCATGTATCAGAGGCAGGACAGGAATGGAAGCAATAATGTAATGTGTAGTTCTGTGTGTGCTAAAGCTCTGTATCTCCAACCAGTTGCCTGTTCAGGTTTCAGCTGTTAGAAAAAAAGTCTTCCTGTTTTTACATGGGCTTTCATGCAGTGTGGCCCAAATCGTAGGTAGGGACACCCACATAGTCAAGCCATAAAAAAACCCTAAGCTTTTACTTCCAGGAAAGTCCACAGTAGTATGTCTTTCACAGATCAGAATGACAGGCACGGGAAACGCGCTCACTAGATGTGGAGGTAACAACATGGAGGTCTGTAAATGTAGGGTAGAAGAGGCAGTGTAACTGTCTAGCCTAAGCTTTGCTACTGTAGCAACATGCAGTAAGCTTAGGTCATTCTCAAGATTTTCTAAGGGGCTTCTAAGAAGCAGTTAGAAAAGATTCCCTTGTGTTTGTCCTATATAGATTGTTCTGGTGTTTCACTCCTGATGGTGACACATACTCCTCCTGTCTCCTCCACTGCAAGATAAGCTGATTTCTTGTTGTCTTCTTTCTCTCCTCTCACCCCCCCCCGCCAGTTCTCCCTGAAAACGTGAAAAAAATTATGACCCCGTTTCTTATGTATTAAAGGTTATTATGTTCCCTGCTTTTTCGTCGGTCCTACTTCTCTAGACTGGGATGATCAGGAAAGGGGTAAACCCTGACCTGGAATTGGAACATAATGTTATCGTTATGTTATGCAGCATGGTGGTAGCAACAGTAACTTATTTTTGGTACAGTAGGGGCAGTTAATAGTTCTCAGTCAAGTAGCTCATTTAGTTTTTCAATTCACATTAAGCTGCTTCTGAAGATGTATGATTTGTTAGAAGAGGGATCTGTAATCTTGGATTTCATAGCTGTTATCAGATTGGAGAGCCATCCCTGACAGGCCAGCCTCTGCAGTTTATACTTTTTCAAACAAAATTGGGATGTTTTATTGGTTACAGTATTTCAGCTGATACCACCTTTTCCAGATCATACTCTTCCTTTTGCATATAGAAGTAAGACACTGTAACAAGAAATATAAGCCTCTTAGTACCCCGTGGATCATGCATAATAACAGCCTCTTCTCTGTAGTTACCCTTATGGGAATGCTGTTATAATCTTGACAAACCCATGCACTGCTGAAGAAGTTTCAACAGGGGTTTTCAAAGTGGGCTGAGGAATTCATGTTCACCCAGTAACAAGTCTGACTTGTCCAAGAGCACATTACTGAGAGGCGCAGAGCCTGTAAAACTTTTGCAACATGGGTCTGTGCAAGAGTTCAGTAGGTGGTGTTGTATTAAAATATGAAAACAGATAAAGAGGAGGTAGGAAAATAAAACCCAGCTGCAGGATTAGGCTTCTGTTCCTTTTCCTAATTATCCTGACCTTGAAAGAAGAGAGTATGAGGTTGTATTGTGTGGTTTGCTGGTGGTTTTTTTTTGTTTGTTTGGGGTTTTTGTTTGTTTGTTTGTTTTTGTTTGATTATTGTTATTTTTTTTTTCCTAGGGCTTTGATCCAGAAGCTATTCCAGGGGATTCTGTGTTACCAGGAGGCTTTGGTATTTATGGTGGGTGGGCTGTGATACTGTTTGGAGTAGGAGGTCAGTATGACCTACTGAGGGAGGGATTGTGGAGGAGCGCAAGACACCTGGAGCTGGTCTCCAGACCTCAGGTGCTTCGCTCA